TGGCGGAGCCGCGACTGGGAGCTGTTGGGGAGGGGGGTTACCCCTGTAAAGCCTCTTGCGAGACCCCCGCGGGTCGGGCTCAGCCTGGGGCCGTGGGCTCCACTCCCGTGGTAAAGCGTTAGCCAACGTGGCAGTGCACGTCCTGAATCCATGAGGTAAAAGACACTCGGTTAATTGCTGGACAGTCTTTATTATTATTATTTTTCCTTTTTAAATGTTGGGCTCCCCAACGCCACATCATTTGAACAGTCTTGGCCCTTGCGTGTAGCCTGTGCGTTCCTGTGTGGGGCTGTCACCTGGAAACAATGCTTTCAACACAGAAAATGTGCTCTAATTCCCCTCTTGTATAAGAAAAGAAGAAAAAAAAAAATAAAGGAAAAAGTTAGACGTCAAGGAAATAAAATGTTGGGTTTTTTCAGAGCTCTCTCTCTCTCTCTCTCTATATATATATATATATAACTGCACATGGACATATATGAAAATGTGTTTAGTTATGAAACACAACACTGAGGGGGCAGTCCCCCTTCCTAGGGAAGGAAGAGATATACACTGACTTTAATATCCTATTAAAATCTTTGGGTGCTGGGGCAATCTGTCATTTTTACAGGGCTTTAAAAGAGTCAATAGAACTATATGTGGGTTTTGACTCAGTACATTGCAAATGTACCTGGTGTGGCCCCACCTCGAATGCTGTTGCTGGGGCAATCTGTCATTTTTACAGGGCTTAAAAGAGTCAAAGAATAGAAGTATCTGTGGGTTTTGACTCTCAGTACATTCCAAATGTGCCTGGTGTGGCCCCACCTCGAATGCTGTGTTCAGTTCTGGAGCCCCCAACATCAGAAGGACATGGACCAGTTGGAACGAGTCCAGAGGAGGCCACGAGGATGATGCGAGGGCTGGAGCAGCTCTGCTGTGAGGACAGACTGAGAGAGTTGGGGCTGTTCAGCCTGGAGAAGAGAAGGCTCCAGGGAGATCTTTTAGTGGCCTCCTAGTATCTGAAGGGGCTCCAGTAAGGGTGGGGATGGAGTTTTTATAAAGGGAGTTAATGACAGAACAAGGGGAAATGGCTTTAAACTGGAAGAGGGGAGGTTTAGATGAGATATTAGGAAGAAATTCTTTGCTGTGAGGGTGGTGAGACAGTGTCCCAGGTTGCCCAGAGAAGCTGTGGCTGCTCCTCCCTGGAAGTGTTCGCGGCCAGGTTGGATGAGGCTTTGAGCAACCTGGTCTAGTGGAAGGTGTCCCTGCTGATGGCAGGGGGGTTGGAACTGGATGAGCTTTAAGGGCCCTTCCAACCCAAACCATTCTATGATTCTATGATTTTAATTTAGTAGTCCAACTTTTGAGGATGGTATGTCTTCAGTTTGGAAGTTTCAGTATAAAGATGTATTGAGTTTCCCTCAGTTCCTGTGTAAGACATCAAGGTGTGCATTGCTAACATTAAAGAAATGTGCTGAATGTGAACTACTGCACAAACTTAGATCTTTGTAAAGTCACGTCCTTGAAGGGTGTTTGTTTCTGTTTAATTCTCAGCATTTTTCTTTTTGCCATGTTAACGTTTCCCTTCACCTCCTTCCATTGCAGGTGGAAAAAAGGACAATCTCTTCATTCATCTAGATATTTTCTTCATGTAAAGGGGCATGTGGTAGTTCTGTTGATCTGAGAACAACAATACAATCGCTTTACTCACTGGTGTGTTGCTGCACATAACAGCTTGCTCTGTGGGCTCTTGCTTTGCTTTGGGTGCAATGCAAGGGGAAAAGAGTAAGTGCACGGTAGCAAGACAGGGCACACTGAGATATATGACAATTCTTTATTTCCTTTGTTTTGCTTCAATACATGAAAGATGAAGGCTGTGTAAACTCTCCCATACCTGGCTGTTATTTTGAGTAGTGGAAAAGCCATGAAGCAAAACCAAGTGTTAGAACATTGAGTGCTTCTGTGGTTTATAATCAATTTTATGGCTGTGATTTGCACAGCATTCAGAACCAGTGTAGTGTTTTGCTCAGAATTTACTGGCTTAATCATTCAGTGAGATCCTTGAATTTTACAGCAGTCAAAAAGTTCCTGGATGCCAGGAGTGAACACTGTATATACCAAAGGTACAATCTGTTTTATAAGTAACTTCTCAAGTAAATAATGTGCCCTCCTTGAGAAAGTCACTTATGTTTTACCTCTGTAGAGCTTCCTTGCTTTGCTAGACCATAGAAGAATATGATTGTCACCCAATCTATATTTTTTCCTCTCAAAAATGATTGCATACCTGTTTTCTACATTGTAAATTGGCCAATAAGGCTTTTCTCCCAGTGCACAGTAAAAACCATAACCTCAGTATGGGATTGGAGAGAGTTATGAGTCTTCATTTGTGACAAAAGTAAGGCTTAGATCGTTCAGAAAGTGGAATCCAAACCAAAAGTAACAAGGCAAAGTGAATTTGGATGATCTTGATCAGGGGTTCACAGAAGATTAGGGAGGCAAAGCAGCCTTGGCAGGCAGCACTAGTACTACAGAATACCAGTGAAAATGTTTGGTAGGTGCACAGCATTTGTTCTGGAAGGAGAAGCAGCAGCTCACATTCTGTGTGCCTACTGAGCAGACTTCCAGAGTGGGGTTAATGATACCATTAAGATTTCAGGAAATAGCAGAAGTATGGTTTTGAATGTAATTGTTTAATTGTCTGCATCAGGGTTCATCTTTAGCCAAGGCATTACACTCCAGTCCTGCAGTTTTAAGAGTTTAACTGCCTGGATTAAGCCTCTCTACTGTAAAAGTCCATGTGGCTACAGTAAACATAATAGTGTGAATGAGATTTCAGGAACAAAACATTAAAGGTTTGTTGAAAACACAATTTGTAAGTTATTTTTTTTAAGTTACTTTCACAGATGCTCTTTAAAGGTTACAGAAGAAAATGATAACTATAGCAACTGCTGAGATTACTGACAGATGGAAATAAGCTCTGTTTCTGATGTTAACCATTACTTGTCTTCAAGTTTCTTATGGTTCCACTTTATTTTGATATAGCATCTTTCCAACTATGTTTGATATTCTGTATTTTACTTCTTCATAGGAGGTGAATATTGAATTCGAAGCACATTCCATATCAGACAATGACTATAATGGGATAAAGAAATTACTACAACAGGTACTTTGATTTTTTTGGTTAGCTTGGTTGGTATTTCCATTAATGAATAAAATCTGAAGAGTTATGCAAAGTCATCAGTTCACATTTTTTGTTGATTCGTAGTTTTACTATGTTTCAGTTCAGGAAGATTAAATAATTACAGCCACAGTGAACATGTGTCTCCTAAACCATGTTTCCAAGAACTTTACCCAGTGAACTGTAGGGCTGTTCTTCCACAGTGTGTATAATCTTTCCATCTTCATTGTGTTAGTTGCTGCCAGAAAAACTCATTCAATGTTAATCAGCTCCTGGAAGGTTTTTCTTTGTAAATTACAACCTTTAGAAACAGACAAACAAGAAATATGTCTTGAAAGTGGCAGCTTCCAGTCTTCTGTCTGTTTCTCTTGTACAACTTTTGCTCAGCAATCATTCAAATCATACCAAACTTTAAAGGATACCAGATTTGCAAAATGCTGGCTTGTGGAGGGTTGAGGATCAAGCGCTTCAAGAAACTGATTTTCAGTCTTTCAATATTATATTGAAGGAAGTCAAATAAGCAAACTCATTAAATGGAAATTAAAAATGGAATTTAAAAAAAATTCCTGACTTTATTTTTCACTAAGTCAGCTATGATATATCATCAGGACTAAAACTTCTTATTACTTATCTCTTATTTTCCAGTTGTTTCTAAAAGCTCCTGTTAACACTGCTGAATTAACTGATATATTAATACAGCAGAATCATATTGGAAGTATTATCAAGGTAAGACAGAATTTACCTTTCTAAATTAAGTACAATACTTTTTTATGTTGAAATAACAGACTTTCTTTGTAGTTTGTATGCTTTCTTGCTTTTTTGCTTTGAGAATAATTGTTCTATGGGAGCTCAAATTTTCCATGCCTACTTTCAGCCAAACAAATTGTTGATTTGTTGTTTTGTTGAGTTTCTTTTTACATATGGAAGGCTTTTCACTTTTCTGTCTGATTTTAAATGTAGTAGAATAATAATGTTGAAAATGCTGTGGAGAAGTTTGTTATCATCTCCATAAGAAGTAGGACTTGGTGATCTCCCTGCATTCTCAGGATGTGCAGAGATACAAACCAGAACTATCCTGCGTGCAGTTTCATTTTGTGCAGAGTTCTTTGGACATAGGAAAGGATCCCAAAATAAATCCTGAACAGGTTCTGCTGTGGCAGTGGAGCACTCTGCAGAGTCTTCTGAGTTACTTCTGGTTAAGGAAGCTGTTGAGTACTGTGTCGTGCTCAAGATGTGATGGCCACGTTACTTTCAAACCCAAATAAGCTGCCCACACAGGGCACAGTTGTGCTGTTGTACCATGTTTCATGGCGTCATTGCTTTACATTCCCTTTTTGTCCTGTGCCAACAGTTTTTTCTGCCCAAGTTTAATATGATCCAACTGCGTGACCCCCATTTCTTTCCTCAGGTTGAGTTTTGTTGAGCTTTTTGTTTCACGCTCTAGTAAAGTTCTGTTGCTCTATGCTTTTTAAGACTTTGCAAGTTTATTTCCCTGAAACTGAAGAAAATTGGTTTTGCTTAAGATATTACCATCCCTTTTACCGAGATGATGCTTATTATATATAAGCTATCAAATTTTAGTGCCTTTCAAAAGATCCTGTAGCAGATACATGACCTGGCTCTCTATATAGCTGGCTCTGAGTACACAGAGACATTCAATGATGCGACACTTTCATAACCGTAACCAGAATTAGTAGGTTTTGTGTTTACACAGTTTACCTGGATGGTTGTCATCTGCTGAGCATCTTCTGGAAAGAAAAACATTTCTTGCTGCAGGGAGCACAAATGGAATGTCAGTATGAGTTATTGCTTTTCCTCTCTTTAAATAGCAAGCAGAAGTCCAAGAAGACAGTAGTGACGATGATGAAGATGATGACGAAGTCTTTGGTTTTATAAGCTGCTTAAACTTAATGGAAAGGAAGGTTGGTATTCCTCATTAATGTCTAGACAGTAATAAGTCAGACTACATCCTGCTTTTCTGCCTTGTATTAAAAGCCTAAACAGCTGGATCAGAGTTTTTAATTCCACCATGGAGGACTATGGTCTTAAAAGTTGCACATCACTTAGCTTTCCTCTGGATCTAGTCCTGTGTAACTTGCTGGAGGTCAATTGTAAAGAGTGGAAGAGAGAGTTAAAACTGGGTCTGGTAACTAGTTCCAGGCTAACTGAGCTGTCAGCCTCTTGTATTTCTTGACTTTCATCTTTCAGCTTATTGAGTGTTGCTCTTGAGTCTCCTGGTGTTGCTGTTCCTACCTGTGTTCCTATCAGTTAAGAACTTTTGTTCACCTTCAGCTTCAGGGTTGGTAAATAATTTCAGAGAAATTATACAGTGCTTTAGAGGCTGCTTAAGGAAATTGCCCATATGCCTGTAGAATATTCCCCTAAAGTTCACATTCAAGGTTTTCTTGTGTAAATAATTGTTCTATAATGTAAAGAAAAGATACCTTTTGATTCTAGGGTACACAGTGTGCGGAACAAATCAAAGAGCTGATTCTGAGTCAGTGTGAGAAGAGCTGTGAACAGCATGTAGTTGGACAACTGGAGAAGCTCCTAAATGACAGTACTAAGCCTGTGGGTCTTCTGCTAAGTGAAAGATTCATTAACGTCCCACCACAGATTGCTCTGCCCATGCACCAGCAGCTTCAGTAAGTTTGTTTGGGCTTTTTTTGAGGTAATGTTGAATAGTACTTATTTTTTCATAAATCTTATGTATATGGAACTATGTTAAGACAGGTGATAACTATAGATATGAGTAAGATGTGAACAGAAAAGAATATTTTCATCTCATATAAGGTCTTTAGTTATTTAGGTTTTTTTAATATCTTTAGACTTATCAAACCCTTTATACTTTGAGAGGAAATAATTTAAGAATACGTGCTGTTCTACTGCTGAAATAGCTGTGTGTATATTGTAGTTCATCTTTGTATTGCAGATTATTTTCATATTGACCTAGGAAAATTTGAAAATGAGAACTTTTTGTAATATGCTGATAATGAGCAACATGGATGTTTGTGCTCATGTGTTAAATGTCTAGCTCTGGAATGGAAGATTTGGGCTGAGGGACAGGTTTAAAAGGTGGATGAGTTCTAGCCCATGAAAACAGTTTGCAGTGTTTTGATTAGTTTCAAGTAAATGAGTGAAGCAGGTTAGGTGCTGGTTGATCTCTACCAATTCATAGATTTATGTGATAGGCTGGGTGACAGTAAGTAAATAAATCCTCTGAGATGCAACATTATATTGTTTTAGTGCCATGTTGAGAACCAGGAAATAAGGAACTCCAGTAATTAAATTAAGATTTTTTTTTTTTTTAAACAAAAATGTTTTGGGTTTTTTTCTTCTTTTCTCTAGTGCAAGGTGAGATTAGAAGTCAGATTAAGTTGACTGCTGTCATGGCTCATTTAAACAACAAAATAGACCTTTAAGGAATTCCTACTTTGAAAGAAATTAGTAATTCCTTTAAGAAATTAGTAATTCCTTTAAGGAATTACTACTATGAAAGAAAATGTGGTTTTAAAAACCTTGGTCGGGAAGGTTTTTAAAGAATGAAATGAGGTGCTTGAGGCCTGGCTTCGAGGTTTATCACTAGTACAGCACTTGTCACAACTAAAATTCAGGTTTCATCCTCTTTGTCTTAAAGGGTTTGGAGTGTTGCAGTGACAACATATTTAACGCAAGGGTGGGCAAGAGTATCTTCTGACTCTTCAGTTCTAGTTCCTCATGCAAGTGATAGTGTGATGAATTTTCAGGAGAGTTGCACTTAGAATCATTTCACAGACTCTCTACCATGAACAATATTCTGGGGGGAAAAAAGGGTTATATTGTAAGGTGTGGAAAGATATCCATAATTTTATTGTTTTAAAGTGCACATGGTATTTTTAAGTACTAGGAATGTGTGTGCAAAATTTATGTGCTGCAGCACTCATGAAAGAGTAGACTGCAATGTGAACATCTTTTCTATATTAATACATTATAGGGTTTGCTTATACACTTGTTGAGGGTTGAAATTGTGTGTGTAAACTTGTATTTTCAAATATTGTGTGTAAACATTTATTTATCTTTAGGAAAGAGTTGGCTGAGGCACAGAGAACAAACAAACCTTGTGGAAAGTGCCACTACTATCTTCTTATCAGCAAGACCTTTACAGAAGCCACAAAGAGCAATTCAAAGAGGAGGGATGGGAGAAATCAGCAAAAGGAGGAATTAATGTTTGCAAATGCAGAGGAAGAATTCTTTTATGAGGTAAATACGTGGTTCTTTTAATATACAATGTTTATTTTTTTAATATATCAGCAAAAAGGTGTTTCACCTTAAATTCAAGGGGGGCTTTTAAAAAGATATGGTCATATAGCTTTTAAATTAAATCCAGCTTTTTTTAGAGTAGTGTTAAGAAATGAGCAAGCAAGCTATTTTTGTGTATTGAACACAACACCTTTTGTATTTAGAGCATCATGGAGAGGTGTGCCATCCGTAAATCCAAATTATTGAATTAATCCTCGGTATTGGCATGAATTTACTAATAAGGTATTTGTATCAGGTCACAATTCACCTGACTATAAGATGGTATGGTGTAGCCTGCCTGTCACAGCACTACTACCTTATAAAGTCTCCAGTGCTAGGAGGATAATGGAAAAATTCAAGGAATACCTGAAATAAACAGAGATTTTAGGGAAAAGATCACATGTTGCTTTGTCTTGAGGCCAGTGTCTTGGCCTCAGAGAATTAACAGATCTCATCTCTTTACTCATATAGCAATGCTGAAGAGATGGAGTTGAATGTAATAATTCTCAGACTTGTTGAAATACTGTGAATGAAATGCCCACATTTTTAGGATGAACAGATGGTAATAAATCTGGGTATTGAATTTAGCAGCATAGAATCATAGAATCTCCTGGTTGGAAAAGACCTCTGAGATCAAGTCCAACCATACCTGTCCACTACTAAGTCATATCTCCAAGCACCCCATCTAGCATGTCCCAGGCCTTCTGAGTTGACAGAAGTTTGAAATTCCTTTTGTTTGGGGAACAGTGCAGTTGACTTCTTTAATCTAAATAATAAAAAATGCAAAAAACCTGTTAAATTGGTGTGTCAGCTGAGCAGAGAAGACTGCCCGTGGGTGTGTGAATTGCAGGGAGTGCAGGTTAGCTGGAATATTGTCAGTGAGATTCAAACCAATATGATTTACATCACAAGTGACATTCAAGAGTGGCAGCTCAAACAAGAGGTAGTAGCTTGCAAAGGTGCTCTAACAATCACGTGTCACAACTTTAAGCACTTAGAATAATGAAGATTCAGAAAAAATGCAGAGGAATCTCTGTTAGAATCTTAATCAGCATCTTGATATTAAGGCATGTTGTTACTTAAATATACAAATCTCTTTTCTTTGCCCCTACACAGTTAGTCCTGTGTCAGAAAAAACAGCTGCTGAGGCTTTATTTAGATTTTGTAATGCAATTAAATGCATTTCTCTGGGATCTTAACAGATGCAAAGCTCTGCATTGGTGTCATTGTTGTATTATGTGGAAAGCTGATTTGTCTCTTTCCTTTTGGATAGCTGTTATTTTCAAAAACTGCTCAGAATAAAAAAACTTTTGAAGATCCAAACAAGTAGCTATCACTTCTCTATTCTGTCTCTATTCTACTTGGGACAAGTATGTTAATAAAAAGTGCTAAAATACTGAGATGAAAATATTACTTGATATTTCCTAAGGTGACCTGTCTACACAGTTCTGCTGGTCCCAAGCCAGATCAAGAGAGGGAAAGATGCAGGAAATTAAATTAAAAATGTACTTTGAAATGCAAAGTATTTTTCATTGTTCTTTATTTTTTTTCCAAAGCTTTAAAAATATTATTCTACAGTATTATTGCTTTGTCAAGAGCCCATTAGTTTTCATTTCTGGCAGTGCCTACAGGATAAAGTACTTGCACATGCATCATATGGTTAATGGCAAAGGTTCCTGTGTGTAATCATTCATTACCCTCTCTGTTGGAGGCTATGATATGGCTGTAATTTTATTTCTTGGGAAGAAGAAAAATGTAAGTGGGTGAATTCTTTGTTAGCTGTAGGGAATGCTGTTGTAACCTCTCTGCAGTAACAAGTTTGGGATTTTCTTTTTGTGTTCCTGTCACAGCAGCTTTACCAACTGAATTGGAACTCTTATGTGAACATGTTATTGAAAAGCTGAAGGACAGAAGCCTGTGATGCCCTTATGTCCACGGGTGTTATGTTCTAGGAGGCCTGTTTTGTATTTATCTCTGTTTTGTTATTTTGAGTGCTATTTTAAAGACTAATTGTGTGCTTTTTATCTAAATTGCAATAATTTTCAACTCAAGTGGATTGACTCAAACTGAACATGGCTTTTCTTTTTAACGGCCTTTCTAGTGTTTTGAACAAATTCATTTGAAACATTATGGAGGGTATTAGATTAAGTGGGTCTCCATACTTAATGTATACGTGTTAAATTAGCATTGGAGTGTATATCCTCCCTGATCACACATAATGTTAATTAGATTGACATAAAATAGTATTAAATGCAGTGAGGCAGACACTTAAAACCAAATAAACCAGAGAGATGCCTTTTTGCACTTGGCAGTTCCCTGTGCTTTATTCTGTTCCTTAAAATGTTATTGAGGGAGCAGAAGAAAAGTTCTGTTATAACCAAACTTGGAATTGATTAAATGTTTAGGGCCTCCATGGCTCAGATTGTTTGTTCTTGAGCAAAGCCACTCAATTAATTTGATAGTTCTTCCAAAATTAAATTTATAAGCTTGAAATACTGTTAGTAAATAGCAAACCCAAAAGGAGACTGGATCTTAACTTTCCCTGCAAAGGGAAGTAGTTAGGTAAGTTTTTTTTCTACTTAGGAATCCAATTCATACTTCTTTATCTGACTTGTGTGAGGACTAGAAACATTTGTTAGGTAAGTTTTTCTTATCCATCAAGCATTTTGTCCAAGAAAGCTAATAAAAAGGCACTGTACTATCTGTGTGCAGTATGTATCACTGAAAAGAAATAATACACATTATGGACACCTACCTATTTGAAGAAGCAACCTTTATAAATCTGTCTTTCAGTGACTCCAGCAATCTAGAGACTTTCCAAGAGCTTTTTGAAATTCTCCTCAGGATTCTTATTAGTGCCCATCCCCTTCATACATAATTTCTCTTGGCAGTGTGAAAGAGGGGATTAATGTACCACGTATTCTTACTGAAATGTTAATTGTTAGGACCCTGAGCAGTTTTAGAGCACACCACAAAAAGGCCTGTTCATTGCTCCAGGCCTTCCACACGTTGCACACACCAAGCTGTCATCTTCAGTGCAGACTCCATTCTACCTGTGCTTTCTCACAGTTCCTTTTATCTGGGATTTTGCTGATCTACTAATTCTTAAAATTACACAGCTAATGGTTACTCTTGTTCCAGGGCTGAAGGTCTGTTAAGAGCATGATATTCCTGTTATTGGTCAAAGATCACAGTAGCTTCTAAGGGTTGGCATTTCTTAATGTGATAATATGGAGTGAGATGCTGGCTTAAAACCATTTAAAAAGAGAGACAGTCAAGGGCATTGATTTCCCCCACCCCCACCCTGGTTATGTCTTTTTTCTGATACCACACTAGAATGATACTAATAATTTTAGAATTTTATATGAATTTTAGAGATTATAAATTAAAGTAGTTAATAGTGGATTCTCTTGTAGATTTTTCTTGGTGGGCCTTTTGAGATGGAAGAAAATAACTCCTTAATAAGCGTGTGCATAATAAGGATGTAATTTTTACTTTGTTTAGGTGATGTATTGTCTTTATATTAATTAAAAATTTTAATCCTAATGCATTTATTTCTGTTGTTTAGAAAGCCCTTCTGAAGTTCAGCTACTCTGTGCAAGAGGAAAGTGACACCTGTTTGAGTGGCAGATGGTCCTTTGATGACGTACCCATGAAACCTTTGCGGACTGTTATGATAGTTCCAGCTGATGGAATTAATGTAATTATGGAGAAGCTCAAAGACTATCTCTCACTCTGAACTTCCCTGTAAACACCGTTCAGCCATGCAAAACTCTGACTTAATGACATTTTTAGAAGACTGCTATGGAGTGAGTGGTTTTGTACTGCTCAGATGCTTGCTCTGTACACTTAGAAGACAAGTAGGTGGCACAACTAAAAATATCCATCAAATTGATATTTTTAAATACTGTATCTTATTATACTTTGATATCAACATTAAACAGTCAATAAAAACCCAGTGTTACAAGGAAATTTGAAGATCTGCTCAGTATGTTTTTAACCGAACCTGAATCATACATTTTTGTGACAAAACCATCCATGCAACTCCTTTTCTTAAGAAAAGTGCTTTTTGCCATGTTTCTTCTGTTAAATATGTTTATGTCAAAAGTTTGAAATAATTACCTGGGTTAAGATGGGGATGTGTATTGCATATACTGTTTTTATTTATATTTGTCCAATATATGACAGTTCAGTCTAAAATCATTGAATAATACATCTTTGTTCAGTGGAAGTTTGGGGAAATTTTTCATTTTCTTTGCTGTCATTGTTAGTTTTCTGTTCCTCCTTCATGGTTGAAACAGGTGACAAATGATTGATCACTTCCTGCAGAATATCCTTACTTTCACTAGGAGGAAGATTGCTAAAATAATACTGAGGTACCAACTCCACGAATCTGGTGAGGAAATAAGAAAAAACATTATTTTTTTTTTTTTAACTGAATTTTGAAGTATTTCAATTGCTATTTCCAGGCTTGTACAAAAGACACCTGCAACGTGCTGATGCATACAGCTAGAAAGTTGGAATTTCAACTCCAAGCCAAAACTCTCTGCAAGACGTAGTAGCAGTTTGTGCTTTCAGTAGACTTGCACTTAATATCCTCAGTCTACACTTCAGGTGATTGTCGTTCAGTTCTCAATGCTGCAGATGGCATTAAATAGTATTTTTTCTAGATTTGAACATATTTTTGGTTCAATAAAAGTATGAAGGCTTTCTTCTGAGCATTGAAAATAGAAAAGTTAGCACAGTGAAATGTATTTTCTTGGTGTAGAGTTTTGTAGAAAGAAAACTGTAATTTATCTTGAATTCATAAACAGTTGATACGAGATGATTTAGCTGTCTGGGTACATAAAACATGTCAAGAAAAAGATTTGCTGGAAAATAGATTTTCAAGGAACAAAGAAATTTCCAGCTACATTAATTTATGAGTACACTGATGTGTTAACTCTTCCTTAATTTTTTTTTCTGTGTATTTTACCTTTCAAGAAACCTTTGCTACTTGTAAGGTGTTTTTTTAGGGGATGAACTGGCAGGCATTGAGAGTTAACTTCAGCACCTGAACAGATCAGCACACGTTAGGAAATAGAAAAGGCTGACTTAAATGGTATTTTGTTTTACGTTAAAAGAATAGTAGGGGTGTGAGATCACAGTTCTTTCAGTTTTTAATAGTTCTGAGCTCTAATGCAGTGAGTGTTCTGAGTGAAAATGAAGACATCAAGCAACGCTACACAGAGTGACAGAACAATACTGAAAACAAAGAAATAAAATTAATTCCACATATATTCCCTAGTGTATATAAAAAGTGTGAAAAACAACAATTCCTTCACCCTTTCAGTGATACCAGCTCCTCTTGCTTGACTAGGTATGAAAATTGGCCTTTTATGGCTGTTTTACTGGTGGGGGTTTGGTTGTTTCTTTTCCTTTGTTTTGTTTTTTTTCGGGGGATGTGGTTTTGGTTGGTTTGGTTTTGTTTGTAAACCTACATCTGTACCTAGAGTGAATCAGTTATGCTTGAAATGATTTCTCAACAGAACCAGTAGATAAAGGAAAAAGAGGAGATGACTGGAGTTGACTTCTCCAAGTGTTGACTTAAGTTACACTTTTGTGGTAGAGGTGTGAGTGAAGAAACAGTTTCATTGTTGGTAACTTACAGATCAGGTGATATCTCAGAGACCACTCTGATGGAATTGTCTTCTGATATACTGAATTCATGGAATAAAACCCATTCAGGAATCTTTCTGGTGTTACAATATGATGACAAAGGATGAAGCTGGGCCACTTGTTTGTGTGTTAACATTAAGTAGTTACCTGAGCCATCTACATCACGAGCAATCTAAAAAATAATGTCAAAGAGTTATCCATTACTTAATTGAATGTTCAAGATGCATAGTTCAGTGTTTGCCTATTATACCTATTATATTAAAAGCAGGAATTAAACTTGTATTCAGATACTTTCAACTGGAGACCCTAAACCTCTTCCCAAATTTCTGCAGGAAAGCTAGGGACTGGATTGAGTTAAAATGTTGATCTGTGTATTTGAAAGGAAACTGCCTGCAGCAAATGAGGGCAAGCTTATATAGTAAATATCTGAACTTAGCTTTGAAGGGTCTGTGTGAAAATATGTATTCTTAAAGAATTACAAGACTTTAAAATACAATGTGTGGCTGGGCACTTGAAGTAATACAATATGGGGGGGTCATTCTTGTGTTTAGGTGGAGCATAAGGATGTGAAGGAAAGCATGTCTTCAAGTGGGAATAAATTAATCTTTCTTGTTTATGTTTACAGTTGCAGTTACAGTACCTCATTAGGTTGAGGTGAAAAAAGCTGTATATTATGTATACATAAACATATTCAACAAGTCAATTCTCTATTTCCCGGGTATTTTCACAAAAACATCTTCAAAAAGGAAGTTAAAGAGGTTTTTTTTGAGGTAAAATGGTTCTTTGAGTGAAAGGCATATTGATAGTTTTCCTCTTGCAGTGAAGCCTGTGGACTTCATGCTGTGATAGCTGAACCCCAGAGGGAAGATCAGAATTGGCAGAAGTGTTTGTCTCATACACTGTGGAAAAAATGGCTTTTGTCTTCTCTGATGATCAAGATTTTATTTTGCCCTGTCTGATGATCAAGATTTTCCTACCTAACTTAAGTTCTCTGGAAACATTCTATACAAGTTAACAGTACAGTAAGATGAAAGCACAATATTTTTCCTTACGTGCATAAAGTAACCAGATAAGAGAGATTTCTTAATGCTCAGTATATTTTCTTTGGATCCAAAGTCCGGTTCTGAAATGGGAAGTTCAATACGCTTCATAATTTCTACTAGTTCGGCTCGGATAATTTCTGCCATCCTCAGTGCAGAACAGCTTAGAAAATAATCACGACACCATTTCTCATTAGTGTAGTCTGTGGAGGAAAAAGACAGTATTTTGGCTTAAAGCAAAGTCTTACTGATAGGTCCTGTCCACAGATACTGCTCTGCAAAATGGTCTTTGACTAGTGCAATAAATTAAAAATATTTTGGAGTAGCTCTGCCAGAGCTGTCCAAAATCCTGATAACAAGAAACATATGGACAGCTTTACACTCATTAGTCTTGCTTGTAAAGTGAGTGGGCAATACTTGATATCCTGACTTAATTTTGATGGAATTTTAGCTATATTTTTCTGAAAAAAAAAAATTAAAATCCCATATTTGGCCTGTAAAAAGTAGTAGCTTGAAATAGAATGAGTAGCAACTCTATTTTCAGGCTTTCTGGATTCAGGCCAGGCTATGGAACTGAAATCACATCTGTAGTGCTGGTGATGATCCTTCGTGCTGGTAAAGGACAGGTTCTCTTGGACCTCTCTTCAGCATTCAGCTGAATCTGAAACAACCCTACTCTCCTATCCTACATTTTTTATGCAAATCCATTATTCCAACATCTAAGTACTGAACTCAGGCTAAATGAACCTGAGCAAGATGTTTGAGCGCAGGAGAATGCTGCCAAGAGCTTCTGTCTGCTGGCAGTGCAGTCCCCTGGCTTTTATTTAGTTTCCTGTCAACGTCAACTTTACTACTTTCAATTTTTAAACTTAAATTTCCTTTTTAGTTGACAACTATCAGAAAAACACCAGAATTGTTAGGCTGGTGGGGGAATCAAGTCCCTCCTCAACTGCTTATGTAATTTGTCATCATAAACATGGATTATGTGCTCTTACAGGAGAAATTTGAGAAGAAACTTCTTTACAGTGAGGGTGACAGAGCCCTGGGACAGGCTGCCCAGGGAGGGTGTGGAGTCTCCTTCTCTGGAGACATTCAAAACCCACCTGGGCGCCTTTCTATGTGATCTCATTTAGGTTCCTGCTCTGTCAGGGGGATTGGACTGGATGATCTTTCGAGGTCCCTTCCAATCCCTGACATTCTGTGATTCTGTGAAACCATCTTTCTGTTTTTGTACAGCATCACTTCAAATGACAATTTTAGTGGTGCTTACGTATCCCTGTTGGATGAGGTACAAAGTCCTAGGTCACTTCCAGTTAGTTAATAAACTAAAACTAATGTTTGTTTGTAACAGCTACTATCTCAGATTTCTCTCTGCAAATTAGCAATTCTAGAAAGAACCGTTCAAAAAAGGTTTATATAACTAAATACCAACCATGTTCAGTTTGGTTTTGTTTTTCCCCCAAAATGATGACAATGTGCTTCATTTGGTCTGTGTTTGGGTACACTTACATTGACTTGCAGACTTTGCACTGGCTTCCTTGAAGGCGTTGAAGATATTGATAAGAGTAAAGTGATCTCCTGCAGGGTGTGAGAATTTTCGCCAGCAGGTAAGAGCAATCTCTTCTGTTCCAGGAGGTGCGTGTAAGAAGCAGTTAGGAGCTTGGAAAAAAAATCAAGCCAGTGGTTATTGACAAGTAGGTGCATGCACAAATAGTAACTCCACTGATATTTTGGGTTGTTTTTTTTCCTTTTAGTTCCATTTAGGCTTCTGCTGATGAAGAACTGAATCTACTGCATTCACTAAAGTTTTATTTATACAGATTTTCTTCCAATCTCTTGTTTATTTAATTTGTGCTGTAAATGCAAAAGAAGGTGAGCAGCTTTCTGCTAGACTGATGCCAAAAATGCTTCATAGTGGCATGATCTAATTTATCCAGAATCCAAACATACAGTTTCTTTAATATAGAAAGAAACTAAATCTATGGATGGCAATGCTCATGACAGGGAGGTTGGAAGTGGATGAGCTTTAAGGTCCCTTCCA